AATACTATGCAGCCATAAAAAACGATATGTTCGTGTCCTTTGTAGGGACATGGATGAACCTGGAAACCATCATTCTCAGCAAACTGACACAGGAACAGAGAATCAAGCACTGCATGTTCTCACTCATAGGCAGGTGTTGAATAATGAGAACACATGGACACAGAGGGGAGCATCACACACTGAGGTCTGTTGGTGGGGACTAGGGGAGGGACAGTGGGGAGTAGAGAGTTGGGGAGGGATAACATAGGGAGAAAAGCCAGATATAGGTGATGGGGATGGAGGCAGCAAACCACATTGCCATGTATGTACCCATGTAACAATCCTGCATGTTCTTTACATGTACCTCAGAACCTAAAATGCAATAAATATATATATATATATATAATATATATATTGTAAATTTCAAAGTAACTTAGTAAATTTCAAATGTCTTGCCACACAAAATAATAAGCGAGGTGATAGATATGTTAATTAGCCTGATGTAACCATTCCACATTGTATTTGTGTGTGTATCTCAAAACATCACATGGTACCCCTTTTATGTGTACAATAACAATTAGTCAATTAAAAATAAGATTAATTTTAAAAGGATTTTAAAAACCAGTACCTACTACTGTTAAGCTACCTGAAACAATCTTTCACGGCCTGTCTTGAGCTGCCCAACTGGTTATGAAGTACTCCTCCTTTGAACAAGCATAATACTTTGCCTTTACCTTCCTTATGCCCCTTACTATAGTCTCATCCTCTTATTTTATAGTCATTTGTGAACTTATACCATATTAGAAATGTAAGCTCTTTGAGGGTAGCAAACACTTCTTGCTCATCTTTGCATTCCTTACAATTTCTAACACAAAAATTTACTCATGGCAGGGACTCAAATACTGTATCTACTGAATTATATTTTGAATGCTCTTTCATAAAAAGGCTTTTAGACCTAGAAGAAACCATGTAGTCAGTCTCTATTATTCAGCTTTGGAAAATTAGACCCATCTAATAGATAACTAAAAATTCCTTACAAATAAATATATATAGATGATATAGCTACACATTTTCCCAAAGATATTAATACAAAGCACTTTATATGACTCTAATGAAGTATAGTCATACAGTATAAATCTAAGGCTTGTTGCATTACAAGTGTTAAATTTAATACTCTTACCCAAAGCTAAACCAAAATTAGTTTTCACTAAGTCAAACTTAACTAATTTCAACATGAAATGTGGTAACTGATAAAGTAAAAGGAAAAAAGTTATACCTACACTAGTTACTTTACGGTATATTTGAGCTGCATTCTGACACTCAGAATAAGGATACTCTGACGTGGCCATTTCCAGCATACACATTCCAAAAGCATAAACATCTACGGATTCATCATAGTGTTCTTCATACATCTCTGGGGCCATAAATTCAGGAGTTCCTACAAAATAACACCACAACCACGTTTTTATCAAAGAGAAAAATGTATCCACCAAGATCATATCCCCTTTCCCATAAGGATTATCTGCATTAATTTCTATTACCCCAAAGCAAATTTTTTTTTTTTGAGACTTGGTCTGTTGCCCAGGCTGGAGAACAGTGGCACGATCTTGGCTCACTGCAACCTCTACCTCCCATGTTGAAGCAATTCTCCTGCCTCAGCCTCCCCAGCTGCTGGGATTACAAGCGCCTGCCAGCATGCCTGGCTAATTTTTGTATTTTTAGTAGAGACGGGGTTTCACCATGTTGGCCAGGCTGGTCTTGAACTCTTGACCTCGTGATTTGTCCACCTTGGCTTCCCAAAGTGCTGGGATTACAGGCATGAGCCACTGCACTCGGCCACAAATTTTTAAGAATACAATTTGTTGGCCAGGTGCAGTGGCTCATGCCTGTAATCCCAGCACTTTGGGAGGCTGAGGCGGGCCGATCATGAGGTCAAGGGATTGAGACCATCCTGGCCAACATGGTGAAACCCTACTAAAATACAAAAATTAGCTGGGTGTGGTGGCACGTGCCTGTAGTCCCAGTTACTCGGGAAGCTGAGGCAGGAGAATTGCTTGAACCCAGGAGGCGGAGGTTGCAGTGAGCCAAGATCACACCACTGCACTCCAGCCTTGTGCCTGGTGACAGACCAAGACTCTGTCTCAAATAAATAAATAAATAAATAAATGAAAGAATACAATTTGTTGAATATTTGCTATATCTACATAAAGCACTGAAGTAATTTTTAAAATTTTCCATACTGATAATACATATAATTTGTAATACTCAAGATTAGGTAATGATAAATAATATGTTTTTATTTCCATCCTTTTTACTTTTTTCTGAACTTAGTAAACTGTCTTCCTTTTGTCTTCAGAACCTTTCAATAATCCTAAATATAAATATAACCCCACAAAAAATACATTAGGATGTCTCCGAAATAAGCCAATACATAATAGGTATTTCAAAGCAAATTCAGTCTAAGCCCGGTGTTGGCAAACTTTTCTGTTAACGGCCCGACAGTAAATTGTTTAGGCTTTGCAGTCTGTATGGTCTCTGTCACACAACTACCCAACTCTGTCACTTGTAGGTGCAAAAGCAGTCCTAATAAAATTCTAATAAAATGTGATTTACAAAAACAGGCAGTGAGCCACATTCGTCCTATTAGCCATAGCTGGCTGATCCCTGTTCTCGACCTATACAATTGAAAAATCTCTTTATCCAACCAGTAAACTATAAAACATTAATTACCAATGACACTCTTAGCAAATGATGTGCGCATTAAGGTGGCTAATCCTAGATCACCAATCTTCACAGATCCAGTGGGTCCCGTGATGAAAATATTGTCACACTTCAGATCCCGGTGAATAATAGGAGGAGTCCTGGTGTGCAAGAACTGCAACCCCTTTAAAATTTGCCTGCACCAGCTCCTTAAGACCTTTGGTTTCATGACTTTAAATCGTTTCAAGTACCTATACAAAGAAACAAAAGACCATGTATAAACAAACATGTCCAGCTTATTATATGAATACTATTAAGGTAAATTACATAAGCAAACAACTTATGCACTATGATTCCCATCACTGAGTTGTTTTCTATTGTCTGTTATGGCAAAAATTTTTTAAACCTAAGACCTCATTCTTAGATAAGACATCCTACCAAGCCGTAGCTTTTTTTTTTTTTTTTTTTGAGACAAAGTCTCACTCTGTCTCCCAGGCTGGAGTGCAGTGGTGCAATCTCAGCTCACTGCAGCCTCTGCCTCCCAGGTTCACGTGATTCTCATGCCTTAGCCTCCCAAGTAACTGGGACTATGGGGGCGCACCACCATGCCCAGCTAATTTTTGTATTTTAGTATAGACAGGGTTTTATCATGTGGGCCAGGCTAGTCTTGAACTCCTGACCTCAGATGATCCGCCTGCCTCGGCCTCCCAAAGTGCTAGAATTACAGGCATCAGCCACCTCCCCTAGCTAGGTGTAGCATTTTTAACTCAAAATAAGAATCATTCCAGAGTGGCCTTTTGTAGAATGACAGCACAATTTTTTTAAAAAGTCCTTCTCTACTACCTAGTAACTGCTTATATAAAGTCACGAGAAGGTTAAACTACGTAAAATTTTAGTATACACAGAAATGCTAGGAAACAAAAAGTTTATATGATATTGAATATTTACAAGTGATTAAACCACATTTAATATTTACAAGTCATTATTCACCAAATGAATAATTTCGATTAGAAATAAGACTATTATTATTTGATAGTCTATAATACTATAGTATTAGACTATATAATACCACATGTTATACTATATATTATAATACTATAAGAATATACTATAATACTATATTAGAATATCATATATTGCTCACTAGATATTTGAACTTGACCAAGCCCTCCATATTATCTTCTATGAAATATTATCTTCTATGAAATAAAATTATGGCTGGGCATTGTTCCTTATTCCTATAACCCTAGCACTTTGGGAGGCCAAGGTAGGTAGATTGCTTTAGTCCAGGAGTTCGAGACCAGCCTGGGCAACATGGTGAAACCCCATCCCTCAAAAAATATTTTAAAAAATTAGCCAGGCATGTTGGTGCATGTTTGTGGTCCCAGCTACTCAGGAGGCTGAGGTGGGAGGGCCACTTGAGCCCAGCGAGGTCAAAGCTGCAGTTAGCCATGATCATACCACTGGACCACTCCAGTCTGGGTAACAGAGTGAGATCCTGTCCCAAAAAATAATAAAATAAAATAAAATTATATTCTCTATAATGATTTCTAATTCTAAAATTCTGTAATATCCCACAAATACTGATTTCTCAGCGCTGTATTTTTTAAACAAACTTCATTAACATCTGAATTTTTTTACCCTAACTTCAAACAGTCACTAGATTCAGAATCTACAAATTCTTTTTTTTTTTTTGAGACAGGATCTGGCTTTGTCAACCAGGCTGGAATACAGTGGCACGATCATGGCTCACTGCAACCTCCACCTCCCAGGCTCAAGCCATCCTCCAACCTCAGCCTCCTGAGTAGCCGGGACTACAGGTGTGTGCCACCACATCTGGCTAATTTTTGTATTTTTTTGGTAGAGACAAGGTTTCACCATGTTGCCCAGGCTAGTTTTGAACTACTGGGCTTCAGAGATCCACCCTCCTCAGCCTTCCAAAGTGCTGGGATTACAGGCCACTGCACTAGCCAGATTCTACAAATTCTTTGAGTAGTTTTATTTTATAAAAATTGTTACTACTCCTGGAAATTATTTCCAAATAAAACTCCATTGACACTATTAGGGTCAACTTACGTCTTTAAGGTTCCAGATGTCATTAGTTCAGTCACTAATACGATACATTTCTTTCCTTTTAATATAGATTCCCAGGAATCATAAAATCGAACTATATTGGGGTGCTGGAGACCCTTCAACATCTCTGCTTCTTCCTTGAATCTCTGCTGCTCAGCTTTGGTTAACTTTCGATCCTGAAAAGGAATAACAAGTTCCAAAATAAAGTCATGAAAATTCTCATGCACATTTCTAACACTACTCAAATGAATGCCTTATTGAATTTATGCACGTACGTGTATATTTATTTATTTTTGCCTGCCAATGCTTATCTCAAGACTTATATCATCACAGATATCCTTTATTAGTTGCTTCGACTCATCCAACGTGGCAATGCAGCAATTGTTACATGTACATTATAATACAATTGTTATAAATATATTACAAACCCACCTGGGTAATAAATCAGTATCTTGAAAAACAGCCTCTCAAAATGAATTGAGAAAAAGCAATAAAACAGATAGGAAAGTTTCCCTAAGAAATCCCTAAGTTTCCATATCTAAAACATCTGTAATGTCAGAACAGGAAGGATAAAATTGTTAGACATCTAGACATTTAATCTAGCTAAATTTCTGAATTGCCAAAATAAAACTGCTCTAGGTTTCCAGACAGAAATATCAGGTTATGATCCAGTGAAAGACATTCCAATAGGCATTGGGCCTCTCATCTGCTACATTAACTACTAGAAGTCAAAGGAGCAATTTTTCAGAATTCTGAGGGAGAACTATGACCTTAAAATTCTGATCCCAGACAAGCTATCAATCAAGTTTAAAAGGGAAAAAATTCTACATTTCTCGACAACAGGGAAACAAACAGTACACCACCCCATACACCATTTCCGACCATATTCCTCAAAGAACTTCAGTAAAAACGTGGCCAAATAAAGTTAGAAAAGGAAGGTATGGGCCGGGAGCAGTGGCTCATACCTGTAATCCCCAGCACTTTGGGAGGCCGAGGTGGGAGAAGCACTTGAGCCCAGTTGAAGACCAGCCTGGCCAACATAGTGAGACCCTTGTCTCTACAAAAAAATTAAAAAATAATAGCTGGGTGTGGTGGTGCATGTTTGTAGTCCCAACTATTCAAGAGGGTGAAGGGAGAGGATCGCTTGAGCCTGGTAGGCGGAGGTTGCATTGAACCGAGATCATGCCACTGCACTCCAACCTTGGTGACAGAGTGAGACCCTGTCTCAAAAATATTACATTAAAAAAATAAAACGTTGAAAACATTTTGTTATCAAAGTTGTACATGATATTATCTTCTGATTTCTTTTATTCTCTTTCATAGCATGGCTATATTTCATTTCTCATTCCCCCCCTACTTTTTTTTTGTAGACGGAGTCTTGCTCTGTCGCTCAGGCTGGAATGCAGTGGTATGATCTCAGCTTACCGCAACCTCCACTTCCCAGGGTAGCGATTCTCTTGCCTCAGCCTCCTGAGTAGCTAGGTGCCCACCACCACGCCTGGCTAATTTTTGTGTTTTTAGTAGAGATGGAGTTTCACCATGTTGACTAGGCTGGTCTTGAACTCTTGGCCTCAAGTGATCCACCTGCCTTGGCCTCCCAAAGTGCTGGGATTACAGATGTGAGCTACCACACCCGGCCTTCTCATTCCTTTCCTTGTGTATTTCTGCCATATTTTCTTCATCAGGTTCATTAATCATTTTTCAGAAAGTCCAAAATAATAAAATCTATTTATCCTATTTTTATGTTTATAAATTTTACATTAATTTCAGATTTTATGAATTCCCTCTTCCTTTCTTTTGCTGTTATTTTCCTAATTTCTCAACATGAGTACTAAATTCCTTTAGTTATTGTTCATTAATAATGAAGATATTTTAGGCTATAAATTTTATAACGGGTACAACTTTTATAATGATCTACAGGTTTTTGTTGTAATGTCTTCTCTTTTTCATTGCTTTCTAGTTTATCATTTCAGTTGTGATTTTCTCTGATTCAAAATTTACCTAGGAGTGTGATTTCTGCTCTCTAATTAGTTAAGAATCTTTTGGTTATTTATTTCATTATTTATTTCCAATCTTATTCAGTAATGCAAGTACAAACTCTCTCTTCTTAAGGAATTTTTGGGCCACATATAACAATGTATATTTCCTGTTTGAAGGATATAAAGTTCTGTACATCCATCAAATAAAGTTTGTGGATTATGGATTATATTATTAAACTCCTCTGTATTTACTTACTTTCTGTATACTAGATCTCTCCTATTCTGAAAGAAATGCCCTTGAAATTTCCCACTACAAATACATGTTTGTCTTTTTTGAAAATGCTGTTAGAGGTAATTAAGCCAAAATATTTTTGGAGTCTACAGGTTTTTTAATATATCTTCTTAAACTATGAAGTATATAATTTCATAATATCCTGTCTAATGTTTTAACCTTGCTTTCCTCCTTTTTTGATGTACCTTAACATTGCCACTTTTGGGCCAGGTGTGGTGGCTCATGCCTGTAATCCCAGCACTTTGGGAGGCCAAGGTGGGCATATCACCTGAGGTCAGGAGTTCAAGACCAGCCTAGCCAACATGGTGAAACCCTGTCTCTACTAAAAACACACAAAAAATTAGCCAGGTGTGGTGGCATGTGCCTGTAATCCCAGCTACTTGGGAGGCTAAAGCATGAGAATCGCTTGAGCCTGAGAGGCAGAGGTTGCAGTGAGCCAAGACCATGCCACTGCACTCCAGCCTGGGTGACAGAGTGAGACTGTCTCAAAAGAAAACAAAAAAACAAAAATCACTGCCACCCTTGCTTTCTCTTTGCTTGTTTATATCTTTACCTTTTCTTTATCACTGCTTTAAGTATGATTTTAGTAAACAACACATGTGAGTTTTGTCTTTTAACTGCAACTGACAGTCTGAGTTTCTTAATAAGCAAATACAACATGTCCACATTGGGTATAGCAAATAATATACTCAATTTTACTCCTTCAATCTTATTTTATGTTCCTTATTTTACTAGTTGTTTTCTATTATTAACTAAGAGATGTAGCCAGCCAGGCACAGTGGCTCATGCCTGTAATCCTAACACTTTGGGAGGTCAAGGTGGGTGCACTGCTTAGGCTCAGGAGTTTAAGACCAGCCTGAGCAACATGACGAAGCCCTGTCTCTATAAAAAATACAAAAATTAGCCAGGCATAGTGGTGTGTGCCTGCAGTCCCAGCTACTTAAAGGGCCGAGGCAGGAGGATTGCTTGAACCTGGGAGGTCGAGACTGCAGTGAGCCATGTTTGCACCACTGCACTCTAGCCTGGGTGACAAAGTGGAGACCTGTCTCAAAAAATGAAGAGGTATCTATTTTTCCTTTTTTACTAGTGGTTAGCCTCCTTTTCCAGACACACAAGATCAAACATATTTATCTGTTATGAGAAAGTAAGTAACTCATCTACTTGTTCTCCCTACTTCATCTAGCCCCCACTCACCAAAAATAAATAAATAATCTAAAATACTAATACTTTCCCCCCTTTCTATCATACCACATAGACAAAACATGTAGAAGACTTAATCGTTGGTCAGGCACCATGGCTTACACCTGTAATCTCAGTACTTTGGGAGGCCAAGGCAGGTGAATCGATCAAGCTCAGGAGTTTGAGATCGGCCTAGGCAACATGGCAAAACCTTGTCTCTATTAAAAATAAAAAAAAAAATAGCTGAGCATGGTGGCACGTCCCAGCAGCTGTAGTCCTAGCTACTTGGGAGGCTGAGGTGGGATGATCACTTGAGCCTGAAAGGTGGAGGGTGCGGTGAGCCAAGATCCCACTACTGCACTCCAGCCAGGGCAACAGAGCGAGACCCTGTCTCAAAAAAATTTAAAAAAAAGACTTAATCACCCCTACTCACTCCACTCCCATATAATTACCCCTCCCCCTCAAACATTTCTATTCTAGCTGTAGAGTCTTTACTTAGCACTTTAATCAAATATTCCATTCATTCAATATCAACATGTTAGTTAGATAGATCTAGCTTAATCTTTTTAACTATTACATAGTTTTCTGCACTATGGTCCATGAATATCTTTTTCACCCTGGGAGACGATACCTTAGCTGATTAGAGATTCTTGGATGGTGTAGCCTCTTCCCCTTAATGGTCTACCGTCTTCCAGCTTCTAGCA